AGGTCCTGTTCCCAGAGCGTATTTTGGGGGCAGAACTCTGGACATATAACTGAAAGGTGACCTGTCGCCCCACCCCAGACTTTGTCTGAGCGGATATGAACTGAGGCTGTAGGTCTGACCCTGTTTTGGGGACAAAACTCTGGACATGTAACTGGAAGGTGGTGGAAGTAATTGCTTCTTTCTCTAGTGCAGTCCACAGTGCACACACTTTAATCCTCTGTGGGCAGTATATGTTCCAGGGCAGCATGAGATTGCGGGTGAGGAAGCAGGTCACAATGTAGAGCTTTATACATCGCTGTTTCCATCTCCAGGTGGGTTTGCAAAAGTAAAGCTTGCACGGCATCGTCTCACTGGTGAAAAGGTTGCAATCAAAATCATGGACAAACTTGCTCTGCAGGTAAGCCAAAAGATAGTTCACTGCTGGTGACTTGTGCTGTTCCTGTGGAGCTGTCTGGGACACAGGTGTGGACCTGTTGGAATGCTGCTGGTGCTGCTGGCTGGTAGTGGATGCTGTAAGCTTGAAAGAATTTTAACAGGAAACCACAAATCTTGTGCCCTGGTGTGGAGAGGACAATGTTCTCTGCCTGTAGAACTGGAGGACTTTAATCCTCTGTGCACAGTACATTTTCCAGGGCAGCATGAGATTGCAGGTGAGGAAGCAGGTCACCATGTAGAGCTTTATACATCGCTGTTTCCATCTCCAGGTGGGTTTGCAAAAGTAAAGCTTGCACGGCATCGTCTCACTGGTGAAAAGGTTGCAATCAAAATCATGGACAAACTTGCTCTGCAGGTAAGCCAAAAGATAGTTCACTGCTGGTGACTTGTGCTGTTCCTGTGGAGCTGTCTGGGACACAGGTGTGGACCTGTTGGAATGCTGCTGGTGCTGCTGGCTGGTAGTGGATGCTGTAAGCTTGAAAGAATTTTAACAGGAAACCACAAATCTTGTGCCCTGGTGTGGAGAGGACAATGTTCTCTGCCTGTAGAACTGGAGGAACGAAAGGTGTTAATTAATAAATAACTAAATGAATTACAGCAATTCAGAATACTGATGAGAACAGTAACTATTGTACGTTTGTCCCTCTGGGCTTTGCTGACCAGTGTGCCAGAAGGGCAGGTAAGTATTGTCAAGCTGGTGCTGGATTGATGCTGTCCTAGATGTATTGTGACATTTTGTGTTGTTCTCACTATGATGCACAGGCTGTCAGAATCATTGACATTTTCATAGCTTGCTGTTGTGGTCTCTTAGGATGACCTGCCTCGTGTTAAATTAGAAATTGATGCCATGAAGGACTTGAGTCACCAGCATATTTGCCGGTTGTATCACGTGATTGAGACACCCAAGAAAATATTCATGGTTTTGGAGGTAAGAAATGCGGTTTCTGCTATGGCAAAGGTCCCTGGGTTGGGTTGTAGCAATAGATGCTAACAAATGAAGCAGTTCTTAGAAAGTTACCTCGATGGTCAGTGTGTCCAAGGTGCTGCAGTGTCAAAATGAAGCTGGTAATCTGTTCTGTTTCCTTGTAAAAGCTGATTTGCACTGCTTGCAATAAGAAAACTGACTTTAACTCCCACCTAGCGCTGCAGTTACCCCAAAACAGCATCAGCAGGATACACAAGACTGCAGCGTTCTCACCTCCTGGGCAGTTTTTGTGGCCTGTGATATTTGTGTGATGTGTCTGTGGGCAAGACATGGGCTCCGGGGCTGGTTGGGTCTGCTGCAATGCCGGACTGGGGCCCACCTGGGCTAAAGAATGCCTTGCTGTCCAGAACCCTTGTTTCTGTCGAGATGTCATGGTTGTGTTCCAAGTGTATTCTCTTTTCAGTACTGCCCTGGAGGAGAGCTGTTTGACTACATCATCTCCAAGGACCGCCTGTCCGAGGAGGAAGCTCGTGTGTTTTTCCGGCAGATTGTCTCAGCAATTGCTTATGTGCACAGCCGAGGATATGCCCACAGGGACCTCAAACCAGTAAGTCTGAACAAGAGTCAGATTTGCACAAATAATAATGAACACCCACTTTTATTTCTCTCTATGGAGCCAGTGTGGGTTATGCCTTCTTTACTCTCTCACTATATAGAGAGTGTATATATCTAAATATATATATATACACTTCTCTACTATAGTATCATAGGATAAGGGGCTGGAATGGACCTTAGGGGTCATCTATTCCCAAACCCTGCCCTGAGCAGGGACATCTCCCACCAGTCCAGGTGGCTCAAGGCCTCATCCAACCTGGCTTTGAACATGCCCACGTTTGGGGCAATGACAACTGCCTTAGGCAACCTGTGCCAGTGTCTCACCACCCTCACAGGAAAAGCTTCCTCATACCTAATCTAAGTTTCCCTCTTTCAATTTATCCCCTTTGCTCCTTGTCCTATCACTACAGTTCCTAGCAAAGAGTCCTTCTGCAGCTTCCCTGGAACCCCTCCAGATCCTGTAAATTTGCTATGAGGTCACTACACAACCTCTTCTCCAGGCTGAACAGCCCCAACTCTCAGCCTGTCGTCATAGGGAAGGTGCTCCAGTCCTCTTATCAGCTTCGTGCCCTTCTCTGGACTTGCTCCAAAAGTTCCGTGCCCTTCTTACGCTGGAGACACCAGAACTGTGTGCAGGACTCCAGGTGTGGTCACACAAGAGCAGAGTAGTGGGGGAGAATCACCTCCCTTGACATCCCTCTAGTGTTGCTTTGGTATTCTTGATATCCCCTTTATTCCAGCTTGTACCCAGAGGGAGTCTTAATGGTCCCTCTCTGTTATGCAAACTGTTCTGTGGTCACACCCAAAGGAAAACGTGAGCGTAAATGGGTAAGGACTAGACAGGGCACAGGGGGAGGGCTCTGCTGTTGGGTTATGGAAAGGATTCATTACCACTTTCTCTTTTACTAGGAAAATTTGCTGATTGATGGGGACCATAATCTGAAGCTGATAGACTTTGGACTTTGTGCAAAGCCCAAGGTAAGATGTCAGTTGGTTTCACAGAGCAGATCTAAATCGGCTACAGCACACGTGAAAATGGCAGGTGTGAGGTCAGAGCCTTGCCCTGAATTCTAACTGTTTGAGTAGTTGTCCCATTGCTAATTGCTGTGTAGGGCCCTAATGGTGTGAGAGAGCAGCTACGTGCATGTTCCGACCAGAATGTCAGATCCTTTTCTTTTACACGTCATCTTTTATCCCAATCTAAGGCAGAAATGACCATGTGTGTAGAGCACGTGCTGGCACAAAGGTCTATGATGTTAAGCTTGTGTTGGTGTGCATTTTTCCCCACAAAGTTTTAATACCACATGTCTTTATTCATAAGATTTGTCTGTGTGTGGAGATTGTGGATCAAATCAAATAGATTATTCACCTTTACAAAGCCTCTGGATCCATATGCTTCTTCCAAGCTTTTTCCCAAGCCTGCATTAGGTCCACATGTGAGGTGTGTGCTGTAAGGAACAAAGCACTGGGAGATCCAAAGACAATTGCTTGTACTCAGATCATCTTAAGCAGACCATCAGGACTACTAGACCACCATCTCAGACTGCTTAGAACAAAGCCCAGGCAACGTCATAACACAGTTTTAAGAAGGGAGCATTTGTAGTGGTTCTTCATGAGGTTATTGCATTAGTTATCAGTATAAATACCCAGCCAGCCTCATGCCTAGTAACTCTTGAGTCCCTGCTTCCCAAGTTTCACCTCTCTTTGCTGCGAAGAGAGGGATTCCTATCAGAGAAGAAGTTTCTGGTATAGCAGGTGAGTGAGCAGCTTGAGATCTGGACATTTGTAGGATACTCATGGTCTTGGACAGTTTTTGCCTAGTGAAGCCATAGCAAAACATAAGGTGAGCTTAGATGTACCACAGAGGAAAATTAAGCCGCTGAGGCCTGTAATATGTTGTTGCTGAAGACACCAACTGTGTTAGAGGCAATGCTTGTGTGTCATTAGCTTTCTGTCTGGTTCTAGGGTGGCCTTGATTATCATCTGAACACTTGCTGTGGAAGCCCAGCCTATGCAGCACCAGAGCTGATTCAGGGAAAAGCATACATTGGCTCAGAGGTATGTAACACAGTTTATAGAATCATAGTATGTTAGAGGGTTGGAATGGACTTCAGAGATCATCCAGTCCAGTCCCCCTGCCCTGGGCAGGGACACCTCCCACCAGAGCAGGTTGCTCATGGCCCCATCCAGCCTGGCTCTGAACACTGCCAGGGTTGGGGCATTCACAGCCTTCCTGGGCAACCTGTGCCAGTGTCTTACCACCCTCACAGGGAAAAACTTCCTGATATCTAATCTAAATCTCCCCTCTTTCAATTCATAACCAATTGGGGGTTAGGGAGTTGTTTTTTCCTGCCCCGCCATGTATTTAAGGGTGTCAAGGTTCAGATATGCATTGTTTGTGTCTCTCTTGAAGCTGCTGGATAACACTGCCCCAGTGGCTATCAGAATCTGTGGCTGACAGAAATCACAGCCTGGAATAGGACATTGTGCTCTTGGCCACAGAACCTGCAGCTGTCTGGTTCATCTCTGACTAGTCCTTTGCTGTCTCCAGGTGTTGCTTTGTGTTTTAGTGCCCTATGAAAAGTTACTTGAACTCCTTCATTCTACTGCACCTTACTTCAAGCAGTTCTGTTAATTATCTAACTCCTGTTGCAAATTTTTATACAGTCTCAGTATCTCCCATGCTTTACCTTGAAATTGGTGTATGAAAACTTGTTCTCTTTGTCCTGCATAGAGTAGTAAAATGAGAGAGAAGTTAAACTGGGCCTTACCCATCTTTGATTCCATGCCTAGAACATTAGGTCCTGCTACTTGCCTATATCAATCCATCCAAAATGCTGTGATTGCAATCCCCTCAGACTTCATGACTGACTGGTGCTGTTGTATGTAGTCAATCCTTTTTCTTTACCTCCCTTTGCACTGCTGTCCCTGGCCTCTAAATGTTGCTTACTTTTTTGCTTTGTTTTCTGTGAAGTCAGTGCTTCTCAAACCTCCTATTGCTGTGTGGTTGAAGTAGGAGTCAGGGTATGAGGCATGTGGACCTTGTCATGCCTGTACAGAGAACAAACAGCTGATTCTAGCTGTGCTGTTAGCTGTCACAATCAGTAACCCATTTTGGTACAAAATCCCTTCTGATGAGTTTGGTTTTGTTTTGGCCAGTGAAATCCTTGTAGGCTGAAGGTAATGCAGCAGTTTGGTGACCTAAGGGGAGGATAATGGTTTTACTAGTTCTCTAGCTTGAGTTAATTGAAAATTGTATTCAGGCTTTGTACATTCACTTGTAATATGAGAGTTCTGCCTAGAACTAAGGTGGTATGTGAGCTTTGACAAAGGGAGACGGTGTTACCTGTCCCTAAGCCATTTTAGACAGATCAGGTTTGTGAACTTTCACTCCCTTTTATGTTTTAGGCAGATATTTGGAGTATGGGAGTACTGCTGTATGCTCTGCTGTGTGGCTTTCTCCCCTTTGATGATGACAATGTTATGGCTGTCTACAAGAAGATCATGGTAGGTATTGGTGGTGCTGGAATACATACGGAATATGCATCACTGAGGAGTATGGGAGGCTTTTGCTTCTTGATGGCAGAACCTGGTGAGCTGTGACTTGGGCAAAAAGGCATGTCTACGGAATTTTGTTATGCTTTGCTACATTTCAGATCATTATTTTGTGGATTTGTTTCCATCTTCAATCAGCCTTTACGGTACTCTAGTTTTGTCCTATGATGCAGTAGGAAGCTGAACTTCAGGAGAAGCATTTTCTTGCTAGTGGGCAAGATTTTTGTATTTGAACCTTTGTCTTCTCCCTGAATAGTATGGATTATCATAAACGGTGTTCTTAAATGTCTAGGAAAAGCAGAATTCTGCATTTGCTATTTGCTATTGCAAAAGCAAGTTGAATAAATAGTAAATAATATAATGCAGTCATTGGTTCTGTTTCCCTGTAAACTCCTTTTGATGCAGCTAAACAACTACTGTTCCTCAACGCACACCCACCCCTCTGCAGCCACTTCTGAGCTGCCGTGAAGTCTGTGTTGATAAAACTTTGAAAAAGAGTGGGGTGAGGAACAGCAAGGTTGAGCCAGGGCTGAAAGTTCCTCTACCTTGTTCTCCTTCTCTCACCCAGAGTCTGATATGCCTGAAAAAAAGCCCAAGAAAACTTCAAGGAGGCAGGAGGCAGTTGACACTGGTCTGCATAGGGGGTGTTTTAGGGTGTGTAAGAGTCTGAGCTCTAAAATGCACAGGATTAATTCATCAAACTGTGGTATTTTAGTCTAGAATTGGATTGGACTTGAGTACCTTGAGAGAAGATCTTTAGGAAGTTTAGTCTGAGTTGGAGAGATCATTTGAAAAAAAAAAGAGAAAAAAAGAGGAAGCAATAGATACCTGATCCAAAGAGGTCAAGTAAAAGTGCTGATACTCAGATGAGGTGCCATTAAAATTACATGACTCCTACTCACACAGTCGTAGAATATCTTAAGTGGGAATTGAGCCACAAAGATCATCGTGTCCAACTCCCTACTCCTGACAGGGCTACCTAAAACTGAACCATGTGACTGGGAGTGTTGTCAAAATAATGCTACAAAACATTGTGATTTCCCATTAAAATCACCACAAAGTGGAAACAACCAGGTTGTCAATAGACTTGAGTTGCCTTTCTCTCTCTGGAGTGTGAACTCAGAAGGCCAGTGTACATTGAGAACGTGCCCACTTAGATGCATACTCTCCTTTATGCTGTTCATTGCACCAAGATGCAGAACCTGGTAAATGATCCAACTGCTTAAAGCAGAGCAGAGAGCTCAGATGTGGAGCAGAGACCTTAAGAACATCAAAGATGATTATGTGTGATTCTAGCTGTCTAACATGTGCAAGAACCAGGAGCTGAGTTATCTGTGCAAAGGGAGCGTTGGCCACTGAAAGGTGTTGAAGTGAACTGAAACAACTGATGAGGTTTTAAAGCTCAATCTGGGAGCAGTCAAAATCACTCTGGTCACAGGTGTTAAGGTGCAACTTGCTATTTCCACCCTGAATTTGTGTTAATTTTATGTGGTTGTGAACTGAAAATTGCTTGAAATGAGGACAGTTACCCCCTGTTGTGGAATTTAATTTCACACATTATGAATCCTGAAATTTATTGTAATCTCAGACCTGTTGCTCCTAGTCAAATCTGCTGCTTGAGTCTAGTTAGGATACTATGACTTACATGCAATGTTTCTTTCCCTGGAATGTTCCACATCTCTTCATTTGGGTATACCTGAATAAATGTCTTGATTTTTTTTTCAAATGAAAAATCAAGCTGTGATGTAACTTCTGTAAAAAAAAAAGCTTACTTCTGGTATGATCTTATGCACCTGGTAGCTATCACAACCTACTGACCTTCCAGCATCGCTGTCAGTTCAGTGGATTTGTTGTGTTCTGTAGCAATATGCCAAAACCAAAATGTAGATTGCATATATTAGTTTCAGAGTAAAGCTGTGTTGTGAAACACCCTACAAACTATTCATAAGTAACTTAGTACTGTCTGTAAAGATGTAACTTAAATTCTTTAACCTCTGATGTCAAAGCAATACAGACTCTGCTTAGAAATGAATGTTGCATGATACCAACTGTTTTGTTATTGAGGCTGTAGAAATAAAAACTGCCACGATAAAATCATAGTTATGTTATTTAACAATGACTTTTTAACTGATTTTTTTTCTCAAGTGAAAGATCTTTGATTGTGAATTTTTGTTTTTTAGCCACTGATCCTCATTTTTAGCCATTTTTACCTCACATCTGAAAGCTATTTTCAACTTTCTTCTAATCAAGAATTAAAACCAAAACAGCAATAAATAATTTGATGGAAACTCATCTGTTGTATCTGTAGCCTTTCTCCTGTCTGCAGTATGAGATAGAAACTCTACAATTGGATGTAACCTATTCAAAAAAGAATAGCTTAGTACTGAGGATGGTGTCATTTTAGTGTCTGAAAAGTAATGATTTCAGTGAATCTTCACCTTTCAAAGTGCTACTATCAGTCATGTCTGCACTTTAGAACTTGAGCGTTGAGTTGGTGTGAGGAACTAAGACAGTGGGTAAAGAGCGGGTGAGCTGCAATAGTGGGTGGAGATGGAAGTATCAAACAAGCAGTGGATGAAGACTGCAGGTGGTGATTCATTTCCTTGCTGATCCAACTAAGCTTTAGTGCTACTATGATATTTATTCAAGTCATTCCTAACACTAAGTTCATGTGTTCCTGACATTGTTTTTTTCCAAATACAGATGTAACCATTGTTCAAGTAACTTAGTGGTTCTTTTCAGCTCCCAGGTTAGTTTTAATTCCTCTTCTTTTCTGCAGAGAGGCAAATACAGTATTCCAAAGTGGATCTCACCTGGCAGTACGCTGCTCCTTGACCAAATGCTGCAGGTAAAGGTGTTCCTGTTCAACAGGTCTATAAAGTACTGTTGCATAGATCAAAGCATTCTATCAGTGAAACATTTAAAAAAGGCATTCAGTGTTTGAACAAGAAGTTTAATTCTTACAGATTTTTTGAGAAAAGATTACTGTAGCCTTCTGCTGAAAAATCGTTGAGAAAAAGGTTTGAGTGTAGAAATAATTAAGTAAAGTTTAAATGAACTTTGAACAAAGTCTTCGAGCAGCCTTTGCTTGATTGTCCTTCACGTGCTACAAAAGCAACAGCTGCTTTGTACATGACGCCAAACTTGATCTACCCCTAAGCAATCCAGAAAATGCTGCATGTCCCTGGGACATCTGTTGTAACTGGTTTTTATAGCTGCCCTTCACAGCTTATGTGTTTGAGCAAGAGCTCCTATTGGTGAAGCTCTGCAACAGCACTGGTTTCCATTTTTGCCCCTAACCACCCTAAATATTCTGTGTAGAAGTCCAATTGTTTCTTCACTTCACCACAATTCACATATGTCCTTGATTGTTATTGCCCACCAGGTTGACCCGAAGAAGCGGATTACAGTCAAACACCTATTAAGTCACCCTTGGCTCATGAAAGGTTATTCCGATGCTGTTCAGTGGCAAAGTAAATACCCAGTAAGTACTCTGTTCATATGAATGCTAAAGTGTTTTATGTTATCTCTACAGGCTCACTACCATCCTCACAGTGTGGGGATGTGAAGGCATATCTCCAAAGATGGACTTTGAGATGTCTGTGGCTCCTTTCTGATTCTTTTAGCTGTCAAAATATTACTTGATCTTGTTTTTTCTTGGGGCGGAAATTCAAATAGATTCTAATCAATCATATCCTGCAGCTGAAGCTGCAAAATAACTGACTTCTCATCAAAAAATGAAGTATTTATGCACATGAATGGCCAGTTCATTCTTCATCAATACTTTAAGGTACAAACCACAAGTGTTCTGGAGAGTGTGTTACACCTGGTTATAGTTTATCCTGTATGTAGCCCTTGCTGAAAAATTTGAATAAGCACTTGATCGTACTGACAGGATATCTGTCTTTCTGTCACTTGCTTGGGTTTACTGGTGTGAGTGGCAAAGATATGGAGGGGAAAAAAGGCCAAGTGATCTGTTTGTCAGCAGTAAATGCTGAGGAGTTCCAGCAGTCAGCGCTCCCATTGCCACCAGATGCCACTGTTTCTCCAGGTAAAGAACAGCTTGACTGTGCTTTCTCAGTGCTAGTTGAGAGATGTGCATGTCTGGTAGCTTTGGGAATTTATATAGCTATGAAAGTGGATCTTCTGGTCTAGGAACAATCTCACCTGCTGCTGGGTTAGCTTATTTGGGTTCACCAGTTCTCCCCTCTGAGGGGCCAGTCTGTGGAGTTACTGCAGTTGCATAATTCTTTCAGTGTGCTCCCCACAATGTTTGGCTGTGTTGCTAAACATTTGAAATACAAGGTCTGAAATCACTGTTGACTATTGACTCAGCCCATTGCATTTCATGACATGGTTACTGTCAAATGTGGATTATGAAACAACTTGAACAGCCTCACACTTTAGTATCTGTTGTGTTCTCGCAGCTGGGACATGTTGATGAGGACTGTGTGACAGAGCTTTCTGTGTTCCATGAGCAGAGCAGGGAGAGTATATTGAAGTTAATAACAGAGGTAAGAAGTTTATATCAGTAATTTACAGTAATTCCGTATTATTCAGTAATTCAATAAATTTATTGTGTTATCAGACTAATGCTTATGTGTTCTCAAGTATGACATTTTAAATACTCTTCAGATTTCAGGAGCCCCTGCAAAACTGGCATCTAGATGTTGCTTGTAACTACAACTCTGAAGTTCAGCTTGGGTTTTTTTCCGTTCCTCCTTCAATTGTACTTGTGATGTTTCCTAAATCTCAGTTATTTCGTAATGTGATAAAATCCTTCTGAATCTCTTAAAGTCAAAGTAGACTTAGAGGAATTTACACCTGAATAACACATCACAGAATCGTTAGGGTTGGAAAAGACCTCTGAGATCATTGAGTCCAACCTGTGTCCTAACAGAACCATGTGAACCAGACCATGGCACTGAGTGCCACGTTCGGTCTGTCCTTAAACACCTCCAGGGTTGGTGACTCCACCACCTCCCTAGTATTCACATTTTCTTTAAAGTATTGACTATGTTTAGTCACTTTTGACTGCAAATGACAGAAGTTGAATTGACTGCTATAGAAGCATTGTGTAAATATTTGCAATAAATTCGCAGGCTGAGGAAGAGACTTAAAACTTGATGCATCCTCCAGCCTTAATCTGAAAATTCTCTCATAAAATTGATTTTTTTTCTTCTTTGTACTTGTTAGCAGTAACATGGTTGGTTTTTCAAACAGTTGAGTTTCCCACTGCAGCGGAAACAGACTTAAAAAGTGGAGTTAATGCTCCTTGTTCTTCAGTTATAGCAAATAATCAGAACAACCTTTCTCAATGGGAAAAAGTCCTTCCAAATCGGTTTGTGACATTTGCAAAGTCCCTTACTGGAGGACTTCTTATCCCTTAAACTAATTCAAACTAACTGTACTATGCTGCAAACCTGTCACACATGGTACTCATGTTCCTCACGTGGGGTTGCTGAAAAGCATGCAAAAAGTTGATGCTGTTTGTGGGGGAAGAATGGGCAGAGGGGACTTCCAAAAAATGGGTACTCTGGTTGAAATACTGGATATTGAATTATTTCTATTATTGATTAGTTGAAGTATTGGATATGAAATCATTGAAACATTTT